ATTCTCTTCTGTTATTTCCTACCCTGCCGTTGAAGTCACCCATTACATATAGTATGCTGCTTCCCTCAACTTTCTTTATCTCATCAGACAGATCGTCAAAGAATTCATCTTTCTGCTCTTCTGTATAATTATCATTGCATGGTGCATATATCCGTATATATGTTTCAGCTTGTTCTCCTCTTTTAATTTTCAAAGTAATAATTCTATTTGAGTGATAATGTATGTCTAATATGTAGTTAGATATGTCCGGATGTACCAGGAAACCCACTCCATTCTTCGATGTTTCTCCTCCTGCATATGTTAGTAAGTAGCCTCTGTGTATTTTCTTATTAACATTTCCCTTGCGTCTTATGTCAGTTAGCCCCATTAACTTGATTTTCCTTTTTTCCATCATTTCAATTATCTCTTGTTTTATTTCCCAGGCCAGCGGTGTTAAGTGTTGCAATCTTGTATTTCGCTGTTCTGTTTCGTAGTCCCTTAACATTGCCATGGTCAGATACCGTTTGATCAGTCCGTTTATATCTCATTTTGTTTTTGTAGCGGTAAAAAATCCATTGCCGGCTTGCTAGGCCTGTCGCAACTTCACCAGAGCCCCGTTGGCCAGGACGTTTCGGGGTGACCCAGGGTGGCCTTCATGGCTACCGTAGCGGTCCCGTGGCACGAAGCCACACCATACTTCGCCCACACCTAGCAATCCCCTACTTTGTCCTGTTACCACCTTTCACGACGAGGACGTGGGGTTGGTCTTTGGTTTCGCTGGCGGGAAATAATTTGTCTGCCAGAGATGTTTTTTTTTTTTTTGGTCTGTGAACAAATTGAAATCCATTGTCTCGTAATTCATGTGTTGTCTTGTACCTGCACAGTTTTCCTTCTATAGGGCTAGACATATATCGGACATTTTCCTCGCACAATTTAAATAGATATCTCTGGCTGCGCAATCAATATCTCGGCAAGCAACTACAGCAAGCAATGGTTTGTTCTGTCTCTATGGCTTTTATCAGCATACTCAGTCTCCCTGACTATGAGCCCTGGTTTAATTCCTTCGTATGTTATAATTCTTGTGAAAGAAACGCTTCTGGAGCATGGGAGATTGCAGTAACATCTACATTTAGTTATAGAGTGTTCACAATATTCAATAATAACAGTATTTAGAAAAACAACGTGAGTTGAGACAAAATATAGACATATGAATTGAGGTGAGACAGGAGGTAGCCATAAAAAGTGAGGTGACACAGAATATAGACACATTAAGTGAGGTGAGACAGGAGTAACCCACACAAAGTGATATGAGAGTATACAGACACATAAAATGAGGAGAGAGAAGTAGACACACAGAGGAGGTTAGACAGTATATCCGACACACAAAGTAAGATGAGACAGAATATAGACACTGAAAGCGATATACCGCTGAATTTGTGAAAGTGAGGCAGTATGTCGTCAAAAAAGTGATATAAGACAGTATAAAGACACAACGTGAGGGGAGACAGAATATAGACAAATAATGTGAGGTGAAACAGTATATAGACTCACAAAGTGAGGTGAGACAGTAAGTAGATACCCAAAGTAAAGTGAGACAGTATGTAGCCATACAAAGTGAAATGAGACAGAATATAGACACACACTCTGAGATAAGACAATAAACAGACTCACAAAGTAAGGTGAGACAGGGGTAGACAAAGTTGGATGAGAAAGTAAATAAACAAATAAAGTGAGGCGAGGAGTCAGTTTTCCACATAAACTGAGGTAAGACAGAGGTAGACACAAAAAAAGGTGACACAGTACATAGACACACACAATTAGGGTAAACGGTAGGAAGCCATACACTGTTAGGTGAGACAAAGATAAACACAAGAAGTGATGTGAGACAGTATGTAGACACTCAATGTGAGTTGGGACAGTATATAGACACACAAAGTGAAGAGAAACAGTATTTAGACACATAAAGCGAGGTGAAAGAGAATTAACCACACAAAGTTAAGGCAGGCAGTATATAGTCACCCCAAATAATATGAGACAGTGAAAAGACACCTAAAGTGAGGTGAGACAGAATATAGACTCTTAAAGTGAGAGGGAAAGTATAAGGGAAAAAATGTGAAGTGAGACAGTATATAGACACATAAAGTGAGGTGAGACAGAATATAGACTCTTAAAGTGAGAGGAAAAGTATAAGGGAAAAAATGTGAAGTGAGACAGTATATAGACACATGAAGTGAGGTGAGACAGTAGGTAGCTTCACAAAGTGAAGTGAAAGACGTTAACACATAAAGTGACGTGAGACTGTATATAGAAACACAGAGTATTAGAGTATATAGAGACGCAAAGTGAGGTGAGATAGTATATAGACAAACAAAGTTAGGTGAGACGAAATATTGACTCATAAAGTGAGGTGAGACAGAGAAAGACACACAAAATGAGGTGAAACAAGGGGTAAAGTGGATAGAACGTTTGGATACGGGCCTCATTTCCGTCTAATATGTCTGACATGTTTACAGTATGCCCAGATGTTTTCTATCAGTCGGTGGGTCAGCTAGTAGGTCAATTGATCGATAAGTCGACGCGTGCAGTGGTCAGTCAGTCGATGGGTTATTAAGAAGGAGGGCATTCTTTCTTTACGTTATTGGTGGGTTATTCAATTGATACCATGTTTTAATATAATCTATATATATATATATATATATATATATATATATATATATATATATATATATATATATATATATATATATATATATATATAAATCAATGTTTTGTGTGTTTGTTTATAGTCTATAGACTCGGAAACTACTGATCCGATTTAGCTGACATTTTCAGGATATGTTTGTTTTGATACCGGATGTTTACCCATCATGGTTTGAAATTCAGCCTGTCATTGTTAGAGATAGTGTGCGACAATTTTTGGAAAAATCTTCGAAACTAATATTTCATTTTTAGTGACAGTGAATTATAGCCACGTTAGTAAATGCGCATGGGCTGTAGTCAGAACGCAAGACTTCCACCATTCACCGGCGAGATAAGTACACCCAACGCCTTCTCTAATATATATATAGTAGGTCGTGGTACAGCAGACAAGACTATCTCTATATTTGTGTAGGCAATGAGTTGGAAAGTAGCTAATGGATTGGAAGGGAAAGAAAGGGGAGAGGAGCATCAAGGACTATCTCGACGTCGGCGCAGACATTGACTGCGACATTAACCGTGTTAGACACGTGCGAGTTCTATTGTTGTGCCGTTTTAATAAAATATCTGGAATATCTGTCTACGAGAAAACAATTGCCAGCTGTTTTGAGTTGTATTATAATCGGGACACTGTAGTAGGGACACACATCTAGAATAGTTTTGTTCTCTTTTCGTTACTCTGATGAAGTGGCTGCTTGGTCGAATAGTTAGAACACAGGGCTTCTGTGCGGGAGACCAGGGTTCGAATCCGCAGTAGTTCCCCCCCCCCCGAGGCTATAATAAATCCTCACCCGCACTGTCAGGGCGACAGCTCTAGCCGTGTGGCCCTTAATACTACACACACACACACACACACACACACACACACACACACACACAAGACAGGTATGTGTGTAAACCAGTTGATAATTAAATTTGACAATTTCGCATACTTATGATTTCATTTTTAAACTTTCCGATTGCATGGTTACGCTGGAATTTCATAGCTTTCCATTTATTTACATTTAGATTTAATTATTTTATCTGCTTGGAATTTTAAGCTGTGCTCTTTACCATAGCGCTCATTTCCTAATTATTGTGTTTTTTTTCCTGTTTTCATTTGCTGTTCAATTTTTTTTTCTCCCAACTACTTCAATGAGGGAAAGAGTAGTCGGTGAATAGGGATAAACTGTTTACTGAGAGAGCTTTAAGTCACAGTAACTGCTTTACCCACTCAAAGCAGCAGCAGTAGTAGTAGTTGTGGTTAGGCTGTTACACCGTAGTGCTCTTATGTGAAGACCGCCGGGAAGGTTGTGGTGTTCTTCTGTCGGGCAGCGAAATTATACATCCTAACCTTACCAGTCTGTGGCGACAGCACAAGCCATGCGGCACCAAATCCTCTGGCTCACGACTCTCTGTCTACTCCGATGGTAAAACAGATAGCAGTGACATTATTTTAGCTACTGTGGTGGTGGTCGTGGTAGTAGTTGTACTGGTACTTGAAGGATGATCAGTTACAACAACAACAAAATATCGCCAGGTGATGACTTTCAAATCCTTCGAAGAGGGAGAGAGCAGTAGTCGGTGGAAGAGGGTAGGGGAGGGGTAATGACTTAAATTTAAGAGAACTTAAAGAGCTTTACATGTGATTTTCAAGATCCTATTACTTAATTTGTTTATATTTTACCTAATACCTCCGCTATTCTCTTTTTTTTACGATTTAATTTGTTTTTAACAAGTACAGTTGTAGCTTTACTTCCGTCTCCTTTAAAAATACAAACAGCTTTAGCATGTGATAACCAAAAAACTATTTTTGTTACTGTGCTAATAACACCATTTAAATGACCACTAATATAAAGACACAATTATATGGTGCGTGTTCTAAAGTTGGACAACTAGACTATCTCTATATCTGTGCAGAAAATGAATGCGACAATATCTATATTAGACGCGTGCGATTTCCTTTGTCTTTCTTTTCCAAAAACCTTTGATGGGGGAGAGAGTAGTATGTGGATTTAGTTATGGTTGCGGGGGGGGGGGGAATGGGGTTCAAAGACTATCTCTATATCTGAGCAGACAATGATTGTATTAGACACGGGCGATTTCTATTTTCTTTCATTTCCATTTAGGCAAACTATGCCACAGCAACGCGGGGCCGGGTACAGCTAGTCATCAATAAAAAATGAAAAATTAAAGACTCCTTGTCACGCCTTAGGCGCATCTGGCATTTGTGACATCATTTATATATATGTGTGTGTGTGTGTCTGTGTTCGTGTGCATGTATGTATATGTGAATGTATGTTAGCAGCTATGTCTGTCAATGCTGGACTCAACAACTAACTTACATGCGGCTGACGTCATCGCCGGACCTACCCAACACAACAACAGTATCAACTGTGTGGCGATCTTTCGCATCTTGGATTGTCTGCTCCAACCTGGAGAATGAATAGATCATCTAAAAACATCATCATCAGATCAACACATATTCTTCTATCTCTCAGTTAGATCTGCAGCTATGGGACTTCGTGTGTGTCCGAGAGAAAAGATCATAGACTGTTTCGTTCTCTTTTCTACTCGGGAATGCCTCGCGGGCTCAGGACAGGAACAGATTTTCAGGAAAGGGCCCTTCTGTTCGTTTAGTATAAAGTACATTTCAGTGTTTGATATTTATATGGTCCACGTTCTGTATGGTCGACCTCTATACCGCTATACTTGCATAACATCGCTCTCTGTTGTGCCCTGCGTGCTGCCTAATCTTTTTACATGGCCAAAACATAAAAATTCACTAATAGGTACAGGTAACGTTTTAGTCACCAAACAACCACTTGACGTCGTTGCCCGAGATTTCTTGACCTTTCGTTTATGTTGCGTGACCTGCACCATCTTCTATGGGTGTCACGGGGTGTTATTGTCAACAATCAACGCGTTCTGTTTCCCAGGTTGTGAGCAGTTTTAACAGCCCCAAAACATCTAGAACTGGCCCTAACGCGAACCCCACCACCCCCTCCCCCTAATCCCACAGCCTCAGCCTATGACCCACAAGAGAGTGCAGCTTACGTTCCGCGAATGTATGCAGCCTAGGACCCACTAGTGAATGCAGCCTAGGACCCACTAGTGTATGCAGCCTAGGACCCACTAGAGAATGCAGCCTAGGGCCCACTAGTGTACACAGCCTAGGACCCACTAGTGTATGCAGCCTAGGACCCACTAGTGTATGCAGCCTAGGACCCACTAGTGTATGTCGCCTAGGACCCACTAGTGTATGCAGCCTAGGACCCACTAATGTATGTCGCCTAGGACCCACTAATGTATGCAGCCTAGGACCCACTAATGTATGCAGTCTAGGAGCCACTAATGTATGCAGCCTAGGACTCACTAGTGAATGCAGCCTAGGACCCACTAGTGTATGCAGTCTAGGACCCACTAGTGTATGCAGCCTAGGACCCACTAGTGTATGCAGCCTAGGACCCACTAGTGTACACAGCCTAGGACCCACTAGTGTACACAGCCTAGGACCCACTAGTGTACACAGCCTAGGAACCACTAGTGTATGCAACCTAGGACCCACTAGTGTACACAGCCCAGGACCCACTAGTGTATGCAGCCTAGGACCCACTAGTGTATGCAACCTAGGACCCACTAGTGTACACAGCCTAGGACCCACTAGTGTATGCAGCCTAGGACCCACTAGTGTACACAGCCTAGGACCCACTAGTGTACACAGCCTAGGACCCACTAGTGTACACAGCCTAGGACCCACTAGTGTACACAGCCTAGGACCCACTAGTGTACACAGCCTAGGACCCACTAGTGTACACAGCCTAGGACCCACTAGTGTACACAGCCTAGGACCCACTGGTGTACACAGCCTAGGACCCACTAGTGTACACAGCCTAGGACCCACTAGTGTATGCAACCTAGGACCCACTAGTGTACACAGCCTAGGACCCACTAGTGTATGCAACCTAGGACCCACTAGTGTATGCAGCCTAGGACCCACTAGTGTACACAGCCTAGGACCCACTAGTGTATGCAACCTAGGACCCACTAGTGTACACAGCCTAGGACCCACTAGTGTATGCAACCTAGGACCCACTAGTGTACACAGCCTAGGACCCACTAGTGTATGCAACCTAGGACCCACTAGTGTACACAGCCTAGGACCCACTAGTGTATGCAACCTAGGACCCACTAGTGTATGCAGCCTAGGACCCACTAGTGTACACAGCCTAGGACCCACTAGTGTACACAGCCTAGGACCCACTAGTGTACACAGCCTAGGACCCACTAGTGTACACAGCCTAGGACCCACTAGTGTACACAGCCTAGGACCCACTGGTGTACACAGCCTAGGACCCATTGGTGTACACAGCCTAGGACCCACTGGTGTACACAGCCTAGGACCCACTGGTGTATGCAGCCTAGGAGCCACTAGTGTATGTAGTCTAGGAGCCACTAGTGTATGCAGCCTAGGAGCCACTAGTGTATGCAACCTAGGACCCACTAGTGTATGCAGCCTAGGACCCACTAGTGTATGCAGCCTAGGAGCCACTAGTGTATGCAACCTAGGACCCACTAGTGTATGCAGCCTAGGACCCACTAATGTATGCAGCCTAGGACCCACTAGTGTACGCAGCCTAGGACCCACTAGTGTACACAGCCTAGGACCCACTAGTGTATGCAGCCTAGGACCCACTGGTGTATGCAGCCTAGGACCCACTAGTGTATGCAGCCTAGGAGCCACTAGTGTACACAGCCTAGGACCCACTAGTGTACACAGCCTAGGACCCACTAGTGTATGCAGCCTAGGACCCACGAGTGTATGCAGCCTAGGAGCTACTAGTGTATGCAGCCTAGGACCCACTAGTGTACACAGCCTAGGACCCACTAGTGTACACAGCCTAGGACCCACTAGTGTACACAGCCTAGGACCCACTAGTGTACACAGCCTAGGACCCACTAGTGTACACAGCCTAGGACCCACTAGTGTACACAGCCTAGGAGCCACTAGTGTATGCAGCCTAGGACCCACTAGTGTACACAGCCTAGGACCCACTGGTGTACACAGCCTAGGACCCACTAGTGTACACAGCCTAGGACCCACTGGTGTATGCAGCCTAGGACCCACTGGTGTATGCAGCCTAGGAGCCACTAGTGTATGTAGCCTAGGAGCCACTAGTGTATGCAGCCTAGGAGCCACTAGTGTATGCAACCTAGGACCCACTAGTGTATGCAGCCTAGGACCCACTAGTGTATGCAGCCTAGGACCCACGAGTGTATGCAGCCTAGGACCCACTAGTGTATGCAGCCTAGGTCCCACTAGTGTATGCAGCCTAGGACCCACTAGTGTATGCAGCCTAGGACCTACTAGTGTATGCAACCTAGGACCTACTAGTGTATGCAGCCTAGGACCTACTAGTGTACGCAGCCTAGGACCCACTAATGTATGCAGCCTAGGAGCCACTAGTGTATGCAGTCTAGGAGCCACTAGTGTATGCAGCCTAGGACCCACTAGTGTATGCAGTCTAGGAGCCACTAGTGTATGCAGCCTAGGACCCACTAGTGTATGCAGCCTAGGAGCCACTAGTGTATGCAGTCTAGGACCCACTAGTGTATGCAGTCTAGGAGCCACTAGTGTATGCAGTCTAGGACCCACTAATGTATGCAGCCTAGGACCCACTAATGTATGCAGTCTAGGACCCACTAATGTATGCAGCCTAGGACCCACTAATGTATGCAGTCTAGGACTCACTAATGTATGCAGTCTAGGACCCACTAATGTATGCAGTCTAGGAGCCACTTGTGTATGCAGCCTAGGACTCACTAATGTATGCAGTCTAGGACCCACTAATGTATGCAGCCTATGACCCACTAATGTATGCAGTCTAGGAGCCACTAGTGTATGCAGCCTAGGACCCACTAATGTATGCAGTCTAGGACCCACTAGTGTATGCAGCCTAGGACCCACTAATGTATGCAGCCTAGGACCCACTAGTGTATGCAGCCTAGGACCCACTAATGTATGCAGCCTAGGACCCACTAATGTATGCAGCCTAGGAGCCACTAGTGTATGCAGCCTAGGAGCCACTAGTGTATGCAGTCTAGGACCCACTAGTGTATGCAGCCTAGGAGCCACGAATTCGTTGCGACGAATCTATCCGTATGCGGAGAGCGGCGAAGGACCAAACAAATGGCAGAGTGGAAAGCATAGACATGTACTGCAGTCTTGGTGTGTAGAGTCAGCAAAACATGGGATCGAACGTGTATAATAAAACCGCTAGAAAATAGTTCAGAGCATGGGACAGTTCACGCAGCATGACTGAAAATTGGAAACATCTCTCGGGAAGAGGTGAAGTGTTTAGGGACTAAAACGTTACTTGAACCCAGCATTGGTTCTGTCTGCTCTCCTCCTGGTAGTATCGTTCCTAAGTTGTTATTTCCTCGAAACACCTGGCATAGTGTAAACATTTCATTTCTGTGGTCACTAGTTTCCTTCTGTTTCCTGAAAACAGTGTCCATGTTTGACATTGAAAGCATAGGGCAGGTGAGAATACTGTGTTGAACAGTTCTTTTAGTGTTCACATTAAAATACCAAATTGGTGCCATTTGGCCTAAAAATTGATTGGCTTTATTGCATTTTTGTTGGATTTCTTTGTTAATTCTGCCGTTTACTGCAAAAGAGAAAGTATTCTCCCATGATATGTGAAAACTTTGGCCTGCTTCTGGTTGAAACAACTTAAAGCAGGAGAATAATTTTACATACGATAGGGTAACTGGTGCTCATCAGTGTTTATTACTGGCGGTTCTTCCTTTTCTGGAGAATGTCATCACTCCTGTTTTGTCTACGTTGATGTTCGTATCATATACATCTTATTATGAGTAGAGTATATTAACATGTTCTTGTAGTTGTACTGCTGTTGGTGCTATGATTGCCTGGTCGTCAGCAAAATGCCGCTTATTTAGTAATTCTCCGATGTTGTCCCCCTCGCTGATGTTAGCTGATCTGCAAATTTGGACGGCGTATGTGATGAACAGTAGTAGTGATAGAACTCACCCCTGTCTCACTCCAGATCTAATGTTGAACTGTTCTCACATTCCTGTATTTGTTTTAATTGCGCGTTGACTGTTATTGTATAAACTCATGCACAGTTTAATACGGTATTCGTTTACTCAGTAATTATATAGTGTTCTTTCATAATGTATTCCTTGGACTAAAGCTTTCTCTTGGTCTACGAATGCGACTTGTAATTCTTTATTTAATTCTACCGCCCTGTCCACTAGTTGTCTCAGTGTGAATATTGCATCAGTGCAACTTCTGTTCTTCTGAAACCATATTTGTTCTTCACTAAGTTGTGGTTTTCATTTCTTTTCTTTTTTTTTTTTTTCAAGTATCTTACAAAATATTTTCCTAGAATGGCTCGGAAACGAAACTCCT